AAGGATAGTTTCTTATTATACCAAGAATATAATGAAAATGTCGTAAAAATACAAATGCTGTCGGAAAATCTACATAAACAACTTTTTCCCGATACTCCCCGCTTCGTAAGTAAAAATGTGGAGAATAACTCCATGAAAATGACAAATGATCTACAACGTCATGGTATAGACATTAGTAGCACGGAAAGATTGGCGGATGTTAATTTAAAGCTGCCACCTTTAAGGGGTAAAAATATTGAAGAACATTTTCTAGAGATTGGAAAAGAACAAATTGAACCCTATAAAGAGTTACTTAAGCCCTTAGTAGAATTAAAAACATTGCCTAGTAAACCTAAGAAATGGTCCCTACAAGAAGGATGGACTATATACGATCCAGGAAGCGGTGAGGCACGTTCTATAGAATTTCCCCAGGAAAATGGTTTAATATTTGATGTGGAAGTTTGTATGAGCGAAGGAGCCATGCCAACATTAGCTACTGCAGTGGGCTGTAAATACTGGTATTCTTGGGTTAGTCCTCGTTTGGCAGCCGATATTTTGGAAATGAGAGTTAAACAGAAAATGCCGCATTACACGTCAGCAGAACTTATACCATTAGGTGTTAAAGGGCCAAAATTAGTAATAGGTCATAATGTTTCCTATGATCGGGCGAGATTAAAAGAACAGTATTTACTGCAAGATACTAAGGTACGTTTTTTGGACACCATGTCTTTACATGTGTGTGTAAGTGGTGTGACCAGCTATCAGCGTGCTCTTATGAAATCTAAAAAAGATCCTGCCCCCGAAGATTTGGACTGGTTAAGTCAAAGTTCCTTGAATAGTTTAGGTGAAGTACATCGACTTTATTGTGGTGGGGAGCCAATTAGCAAAGAGGAACGTAATATTTTTGTGGAGGGTACTTTAGCAGATGTACGCCAGGAGTTTCAGTCCCTTATGACGTATTGTTCCAATGATGTGGCTGCCACACATAGAATTTTGCAAAAACTTTATCCCTTATTCGAAGAACGTTTTCCTCATCCGGTTACTCTGGCCGGTATGTTGGAAATGGGTTCAGCTTATTTGCCCGTTAACAAGAATTGGCTGCGTTATATAGAGGAATCAGATTTAACCTACGAAGATCTTAGTATAGAGGCAAAATATCATTTGGCTAGAAGAGCTGATGAGGCTTGCAGTCTTATGAAAGATGAACAATATAAACAAAATTTATGGCTTTGGGATGAAGACTGGTCTACTCAGGAATTGAAACTTAAAGCCACAAAAAACAAATCTAAAGCGAAACTAAAGAATGAAACGAATAATACGAGTGAATTAACAGAAACTACTAATGAAGAAGAACGCTTGCAAAGGAAATTTCAATATTTATATGATTTGAAGGAGCAATTGCCCGCCCGACGTCCTTTACTACCCGGTTATCCGGCTTGGTATCGTAAACTTTGCCAAAAACCTCCCAAAGATAATAGCAATACAGACTGGACACCCGGACCCTCAGAAATAAGTACCGGTATGCAAATCGCCCCCAAATTACTATCACTCTGTTGGGAGGGATTTCCTTTACACTATACACGCGAACATGGTTGGGGATTTTTGGTGCCATTTACCGCCAAGATAACCGAAACTGATAATGAAAATAAAACTATCATACCCATTGAGAAATTGGTGGCGCAATGTCCCATACCGGAATTTGCTCAATTATATGCTTCAGAACAAGAAAGTGATTATGCTTTTGGTCATTTACAAAAGGAACTGGATAGTAAATTGGGTAAAAGGGAGTTTTATGGCAAAGCCAAGAAAACCGATAAGACAGAGGGTCACTATAAAGGTTCTGGAGTATGGTGCAATCAGATTTTAGATAATTGTTGCTTTTTTCTTAAGTTGCCGCATAAAAATGGCAAGACATTAAGAGTTGGCAATCCCTTGTCAAGAGACTTTCTAAACAAATTCTCCGACAATGTCTTAAGCAGTGGAGAGTCTGAGAGTAATATTGCCAAACGGGTAATCGAGATAGCTCGCATGATGTCTTATTGGCGCAACAATAGAGATCGTATTATGGGCCAGCTGGTAGTGTGGCTGACACCGGAAGAATTGCCACAAGAATTAAGTAACAAAAACTACGAGTATGGAGCTATATGTCCACAAGTGGTAGCCTGTGGCACGTTAACACGTAGAGCTATGGAACCTACTTGGATGACGGCCTCAAATTCTCAAAAGGAACGTATAGGTTCAGAACTAAGAGCAATGGTACAAGCTCCGCCTAACTATCGCATTGTGGGCGCTGATGTTGACTCTCAGGAATTGTGGATTGCTTCCGTTTTGGGAGATGCTTATGCGTATGGGGTACATGGCGCTACTCCTTTGGGTTGGATGACTTTAAGTGGCACTAAATCGAATGGTACTGATATGCATTCCATAACCGCAAAGGCAGTCGGCATTTCTAGAGATCATGCCAAAGTAATAAATTATGCACGTATTTATGGAGCCGGACAAAACTTCGCCGAAGGTTTGCTCAAACAATTCAATCCCACATTCTCAGCCAGCGAAGCCCGCGCCAAAGCTATGAAAATGTTTGCAATAACTAAGGGCAAAAAAGTTTATAGACTTAAAGAAGAGTTTCAAGAGGAATTTGAGAATAGAAGGTAAATGTTAAATGATTAAATAAACACGATTTATGCATTTAAGTTCTTTTTTATTATTCTTTTCATAGTTATTCTGGTTACGAGGCCTTAAGATTGGCTTCCAGTAACAATAAGGCGGTAGATGAAATGTTTGACCGACCTTGCTGGGAGGGTGGTACAGAAAGTGCCATGTTTAATCGTCTGGAAGAAATTGCTACACGCGATGAGCCTGTTACACCTTTTCTAGGCTGTCGACTCAGTCGTGCTTTAGAAACTCACAATACTGCCGATGAAAATCGTTTTCTACCCACCCGAATCAATTGGGTGGTCCAAAGTGGTGCTGTAGATTTTCTGCATTTAATGTTGGTTGCAATGCGTTGGCTTTTAGGTGATAAAGCACGTTTTTGTCTAAGTTTTCATGATGAACTCAGATATTTAGTGGAGGAAAAATATGCTTATAAAGCTGCTTTAGCCATGCATATTACCAATTTGCTGACACGTTCTTTCTGTTCATCACGTTTAGGCCTTAAGGATCTACCCATGTCAGTGGCATTTTTCTCGTCGGTTGAGGTTGATATTGTGTTGCGTAAAGAATGTACGATGGACTGTAAGACGCCATCAAATCCTCATGGTTTACAGTTGGGCTACGGTATACATCCGGGCGAAAGTTTAAGCATATATGAAGCCATTGTGAAAGCAGGAGACAGTGATTTAAGTAAATGGAAATGATAAACTTCTGGGTAAATCGTATACATACATAGTATGTACGTATATCTAATAAGCATATGTGCATATATTATGAAGATCATTAGTTTTAAGTTATTTTTATATATGTACATACATATGTACATATATATATTTTTTTGAAAAGAACCATTTTTGTTGATTTTTATTTATTAATAAAGATATTGTTAAACTATCCGCCATTTGTTAACGATATTTTTTCTTTTTCGTTACATACTTAACTTATGTATGTACATTAGGGATATAACTATTGACATTCGTTGCATATATGCAAGTTGGCATAGCATAGTCAAATAGGTCATTAAAAAATGGGAGAAACTACGTTAATTCTCGGGAATTTAAATCTTAAACAATTCAATTAAATATGCTTTTAAGAATTTAGCTGCCTAAAATAGTAAAATCGGTCTATAAGAATCGAAGATATGGTCAAAACAAATATGGTCAACAAATATATTATGGACTTTTTGATTTAGGGATGTAAAATAGTATATTTGCGTAAAAATCAAAAAGTCCGGAGATATAGGCAGTGATGAGTCGCGCTATGATAAAAGTATAGTTTTCGTTAAAAAAAATTAGCGTATATAAATATTAAAATTTGAATTCAAATTTTAAAATAATAAAAATTAAAATTTTTAAAAAATTTGGTTTATATCATGATACAACCATAGAAAGGTAGAATCAGTAGGGAGAGTTTTATTATGGTTTATATTAGAAATTGGGGTTGGTGCGTGATGTTTTTGATTCCAATTGACCTAAAAACAATATTTTCATTACTTGTACAACATTGGTAATCATGTGGTGGTATGTCAAAAATTTCGCCAAATTAGTTATACCTATCACTAATGTACATATCATTATGAAGTAAATAGTTAATCTTAAGTACGCTTTATATTATATCTATGATCAATTATGGACCTTTATTTCAAAAATCCATCGATATAACGATGCCGATAAATATTGAAAATATTGAAAAAATTGTATAAAGATGATATTTATATATAGTCTAAATTGTTCCACTCAATTTTTTAATATATATCGGTACCGTTATTTCGATGTATTTGTGAAATAACGGAAATTTTATTAAATAACTCTATATAAAAAATACTTTTGTGGGATTGCTTTTCAATGGGTTAATAAATGGAGTCATATTATATATTGTTGAGAAGGTATTCCAAATTGAGACTATCTTCTTTATTTATACTATTAATTACATATAATTTGCTAATAGCTAATGTAATTCAACAGAAAAGATTTATATATACATATATAATTCATCTTAATTTCTTTAAATGAAATGAATTAGAGAATTGATCCTCTTGAAGCTTTGTTTAATGATGCCACCATTCCACATCAACATTTTAACAAACCCCGTTAAATTGCAAATAAATTGTTTTTTATTTCTACACAAGATCAAAGTATATTTATAAAGTGACGACAATACTTGTTGTACTATGAACATCTACAACATGAACGATTTTCAAATTTGCCTGTTTTTGTTATTTTAACGGTCGAAAAAAAAAAAATCAGCTGTGCTTTTGTTGCCACCGTATATATACACTTTGCACAAGATTAATTGTAATTTACGGTGTAGTCTCGGCCTTCAGTAACTGACATTTGACAGGTGTTTTTCTCTTTCTTGACATTCACTGATGACGTTCTTTTTTCTCGCTCTTGTGTGTCAATATCGTGATAAAAAAATTTTCACTACTTGTAATTTTTACTTAATTAAAAGCGATAAAAAAGTTATATATTTTTTAATTTAATTATCTTAATTATATGGAAAATGACTTTCCGTACGCAGTTAACAGAATGAGGAAAATGTATTGAATTATTTTGTGAACGTTAACAAGAAAAGAGAAAAAAGAAATATACTAAACGGTGGTGTTGTGGTTTTTTGTGTGTGTGAGAGTTGTGTTGTGCCAGTCATATTGACACATCAACCCAAACGACGACGAAAGCCCCAATTTTTCGATTGAATTTCACATGCAAAGACCTTGATGCATAATGCAAAGTTTTTCCACAAAAACTAAAGAAATGTTTATAGTGCGTGCTTTAGAGAAAATCCTTGCCGATAAGGACATTAAACGTTCCCAGAATTCACAATTAAAGAAATCATGCGACACAGCTTTGGAACAAATCAAAGCTGAACTAATCAATGCTGGTCAAATAGCAGAAGGTAATGAGCTCCCCTGTGCTGCACTGCCACTGCCGAAAAATGATGCAGCCAGTATTATAAATGCGGAGACGTATTTTCTGCCATTTGAGTTGGCCTGCAAAAGTCGTTCACCCCGTATTGTGGTGACAGCTTTGGATTGCTTGGAGAAGTTAATAGCATATGGCCACTTAACCGGAGCCATTCAGGATTCTTCGAGTCCGGGACATTTGCTAATTGATCGCATTGTTAATACCATATGCGGGTGCTTTAACGGGCCTCAGACAGACGAATGCGTTCAATTGCAAATTATAAAAGCTCTGCTCACTGTGGTCACCTCACAGCATGTGGAGATTCATGAGGGGACGGTATTGCAAGCTGTACGCACTTGTTATGATATTTATTTGTCCAGTAAAAATCTGGTCAATCAGACAACAGCCTGTGCTACCCTGACACAAATGTTGGATGTGATATTTTCACGTATGGAAAATCAAGTATATGAGGTGGCAGCTCAAGCTGCCCAAGCTGCGGCCGCCGCTAATAATGGCAATACTGATGCAAACACTTCACAAGCTTCAGAGGCAAGTGTAAGTGTTAAGAGTGTCAGTGGTACCGAGGAGGAAACACCCGAATCTGTGGCAGCTGCTGTTGTAGAGGAAATATTAAATGGTGAGTTTCGCTATGTGGGTAACTGGGGAGTTTTTAATCTCTTCTGAATTTCTTAAAGTAGTTTAATAAATTGTTTTCATTTTAAAAGATATAACCTTCCAAACAAGATTAGAATTAGTAAACAAAATCGATTTTTTATTGGTTCTCTTGTACGCTATGAAAATATATGTCTAAAAAGAATATACAGTAATTTCAACAGTTAATTCAAATGTTTTAGTCAAAATTCTGTGTACATTAAATGTTCTTATATCATTTCACCTAGAAAATAATAAGAATTTTTGTTAATAAATTAATTTTTTTAATAGAGCTTATTTTCACCCCTTTATTGAATGATGAACCCTATTACTTTATTGTCAATTAAAGGAATAAGAGTTTTTTTCAACGTTATCCTATCGAACTTTATTGCCGTAAAACACTTTCAACCCTAAAAACATAAATATTCCCTAAAACAGTTCATAATATTCTTTGTAAACACCATAAAATGGATAGTAATTCTTGCCCTATAATTTTTTGACCAACTTTATGTTTGCTAAAGGCTCTTAGAATCGTCAAGTTTTTTTTGTGAAAAATTGCTTTTGAAAAGTGCAACCACTCGGAGACCTTTGTGATTGCCTTTGTAAAGTGTGAAGATCCAAAGATAGAGAAAACACTAGAAAACAAAATAATAACGAAGTTAAGGCGTTACTACTTGGAATCGAATCGATTACCTAAGAAAGAATTGTGAGAGAATTTGAGTCACCCTATAAAACCCAGTAGAAGAAATGAATAGTAGACTGCGAGGATTGAATTCTACAATTTCGCTCAGTTCATAATGGAACATATTTCCCAGACATTTAAACCAGAGATCCTGTTTTAAATGGCTGGGATTTATAGATTATATGACAGTGGAAATTTATGTGCTCAATCGACTATAGTTTTTCTGTATCTTCGCATATCCTGCAATAGTACGTATAACTGTCCCACTTACTGGCAAAGCCCCTAATTGTACAATGTCCAGTTAAGATCCCTGCCAGCCAATGCTGTAAGAGCAGCTTGACTATCGACATAAAATGTCACAACCGACCCTAGATCTATATGAATCCGTAGCATTTCCGTCGCTTTTCAGATCGCCAGGATCTCTGCTTGAAAGAAAGTTCATAAGTCAGGGAGTCTTCAGTTTAATTTTTTTCTTTATTCTTTTCTATTCTAGCCGCTATAAATGAAGTTCTCAAAGAAACTTCTCCCGAAATTGTCATAAACGATGAAGAACAAACAGCTGCTAATAATAGCAATAGCACCAATAATAACAGCACCAATAACATATCCACTACGGGTTCTGAAGGCAATGCAAATCATGCATCATCCGAAAATAATCTGCATCTCAACTCAGAAGAAAGTGCTGAAATGCATAGTGAAAATGATGCTGTAGTTACAGCTAAATTTACACATGTCCTACAAAAAGATGCCTTTTTAGTGTTTCGTGCTTTATGTAAATTGTCCATGAAGCCATTACCAGAAGGACATCCCGATCCCAAATCACACGAATTAAGATCGAAGGTATTATCTTTACGTTTGCTGTTGTCTATCTTACAAAATGCTGGTCCAGTTTTTCGTTCTAATGAAATGTTCATCATGGCCATTAAACAGTATTTATGTGTAGCCTTGTCTAAAAATGGTGTAAGTTTGGTGCCGGAAGTATTTGAGTTATCGCTGTCAATATTTGTGGCCTTGTTGTCCAACTTTAAAATACATTTGAAAAAGCAGATTGAAGTATTTTTCAAAGAGATTTTCTTAAATATTTTGGAGGCTACCTCCAGTTCTTTTGAACACAAATGGATGGTCATACAGGCTTTGACTCGTATATGTGCTGATGCCCAATCGGTGGTGGATATATATGTAAATTATGATTGTGATTTTCAAGCGGCAAATCTCTTTGAACGCCTGGTAAATGATTTATCGAAAATTGCTCAAGGCAGACAAGCCCTAGAGTTGGGTGCTAATCCTATGGAAGAGAAATCTATGCGTATAAGAGGTTTGGAATGTTTAGTTTCTATACTTAAATGCATGGTAGAATGGAGTCAAGATTTGTATGTTAATCCAAATATGCCCTCTTTAAATGCCCATGAGGGTACAGCTCATAATCGTTCAGCCAACTCAGCTGATTTACAATCACCCACTGACAACACAGATGCTATATCACAAACTAATACCATAGGTGTACGCTCTACCCATGGTGGCTCCAGCCATAGTTTAAATTCCTATGGCAGTGTTAAAAACACAGAAGTTCTTGATTTGCCAGAAGCTTTGGAAGAAAGAAAAATGCGCAAGGAGGTCATGGAGGCGGGTATAGAAATTTTCAATCGTAAACCCAAAAAGGGAGTACAATTTCTGCAAGAAAAACAGTTACTGGGTTCTACACCCAAGGATATTGCCAAATGGCTGCATGAGGATGAACGTTTAGACAAAACTATTATAGGCAATTATATCGGAGAGAATGATGATCATTCGAAGGAAGTTATGTGTGCCTATATAGATGCTTTTGAGTTTCATAATCTTGAGGTGGTTTCTGCATTACGTATGCTTTTGGAGGAATTCCGTTTGCCGGGAGAGGCACAAAAGATTGATCGTCTTATGGAGAAATTTGCCAGTCGTTATTGTGAATGTAATCCCAATAATCCTCTATTCCAAAGTGCTGACACTGTTTACGTTTTGGCCTTTTCCATTATAATGTTGACTACCGATTTACATTCGCCCCAGGTGAAAAATAAAATGACTAAAGAGCAATATATTAAACTTAATCAAGGTGTTAGTGATAGTCGTGATGATCTTCCCGTTGATTATTTGTCTTCAATTTATGATGAAATTGCTGGACATGAAATTAAAATGAAAAATACGGTGGTTAATAAGCCAGGCAAACAAATTATTGCCAATGAAAAAAGACGTAAGCTTTTGTGGAATATGGAAATGGAAGCCATATCGACGGCAGCCAAAAATCTTATGGAATCTGTTTCTCATGTTAAGTCACCGTTCACTTCGGCCAAACATTTAGAGCATGTACGTCCCATGTTTAAAATGGCATGGACACCCTTCTTGGCGGCCTTTTCAGTGGGTCTGCAGGACTGTGATGATCCTGAAATAGCTTGTCTTTGCTTGGATGGTATACGCTGTGCCATACGTATTGCTTGCATTTTCCACATGACTTTAGAACGTGATGCTTATGTACAGGCCTTGGCCAGATTTACACTGCTCACCGCTAACTCGCCCATCAATGAAATGAAAGCTAAAAATATTGATACCATTAAAACGCTTATAATGGTTGCACACACCGATGGCAATTATTTAGGTTCCAGTTGGTTGGATATCGTCAAATGCATTAGTCAGTTAGAATTGGCGCAATTAATTGGCACGGGCGTGCGTCCAAAATTCTTATCTGGTGCTCAGACTACTCTTAAGGATTCACTAAATCCCAGTGTTAAGGAGCATATTGGCCAGACAAGCAGCCAAAGTGTTGTGGTCGCAGTGGATCGTATTTTTACCGGTTCTATACGCTTGGATGGTGATGCTATTGTTGATTTTGTAAAGGCCTTGTGTCAGGTAAGAAGAATATTAGTTTTTAGTTTTATAAAAAATGCTTTTATCGTAGCTTTTAGACAAAAAGGCTATTTGGGACTATCTTAAGAAAAAACTTTATATAAAGCTTATCTTTTAAACTTTTTTTTAAATATTTTTTAAACTGTTTTTCATTAAAAAGCTTTTTAGCGAGTTTTTAGCGCTAAAAGATTGTTTAAAACTTAAAAAATATTTTTTTTGTAACTTTTCGTTAATTTTTTAAACAAAAAAGCATTTTTAAAACTTTTTACCAAGATGCTTTTAGGAGTTTTTGAAAGTTTTAATACATTTTTTGAACTTTTTAAACAAAAAGCTTTTTAGGAACATTTTACCAAAGAAGCTTTTTACGAACTTTTGAGACGTTTTTTTTGGATCATTTTAAGAAAATTTATCTTTTTAGCAAAACATCTTTTTTGTAAATTTTTACCAAGATGGTTTTCAGAAATTTTTCAATGTTTTAAGAAACCATTTTATTTTTTTAACTTTTCTAACAAAAAGCTTCTTAGGAACTTTTGAAAATAAGTTTTTTTATCATTTTAAGAAAAATTTCTGAAAGCTATGGTTTTCTATACAACTTGTCCGCTATTCCACCAAAAACTCATTTGAAACTTTTAAAATAAAGTTTTTGTACCTTTTTTTTAATTAAAAAAAGCATTTTAAAAAATTTCTAACAAAATGGTTTTAGAGACTTTTTAATGTTTGTTAGGAACGTTTTTTAATCATAAGCTTCTCACGAACTTTTTACCTGAGCAAAAGAGCATTTGAGAAAAAAGGTTTTTTTTTGACTTGAAGCTTTTAACTTTCTGTCTTTTTAGAAATAAGATTTTTCCTTAACATTTTGTTAGAACTTTTTCTTTACAAAAAAGCTTTTTGGGAACTTTTTAAGAAAAAGACAAATTTGAAAGCTTTTATAACAAATTTATTAATTATTCCTTTTGCCAAATAAAAATATCTTTAACTTATAGTCAAGATCTTATTTGTAAATCTATTTCATTCCAACAACTAATTCTTCTATTTGCAGGTCTCTATCGAAGAATTACACAATACCCAGCCACGCATGTTTTCGTTACAGAAAATTGTGGAAATTTCTTACTACAATATGGAACGTATTCGTTTGCAATGGTCTCGTATTTGGCAGGTTTTAGGTGAACACTTTAATACGGTCGGTTGCAATACCAATGAGGAAATTTCATTCTTTGCCTTGGATTCGTTGCGTCAATTGTCGATGAAATTTATGGAAAAGGGTGAATTTGCAAATTTCCGTTTTCAAAAGGATTTCTTACGACCATTTGAGCATATAATGAAAAAGAATCAATCACCTGCCATACGCGATATGGTTGTGCGTTGTGTAGCGCAAATGGTTAATTCACAAGCTCGCAATATCAAGTCTGGTTGGAAGAATATATTCTCCATTTTTCACTTGGCAGCAGGTGACCACGAGGAAGCTATAGTTGAGTTGGCTTTCCAAACCACCGGGAAAATCATAGGAGAGTTGTATCAAAAACAATTTGCTGTTATGGTAGATTCCTTTCAGGATGCTGTCAAATGTTTATCGGAATTTGCCTGCAATGCTCGTTTTCCCGATACCAGTATGGAGGCTATACGTTTGGTAAGAACATGTGCTCTGTGTGTACATGAATCACCCCAATTATTTGCCGAACATGCTGGCATGGAGAATGATATATCGGTGGCAGAAGAAGATCGCGTTTGGGTTAGAGGCTGGTTCCCCATGTTGTTTTCGCTGTCCTGTGTAGTGAATCGTTGTAAATTAGATGTGAGAACCCGTGGTCTGACAGTTCTCTTTGAGATTGTTAAAACTCATGGTGACAGCTTTAAACCTAATTGGTGGAAAGATTTATTCAATGTAATTTTCCGTATTTTCGACAACATGAAACTACCGGAACACGTAACCGAAAAATCTGAATGGATGACCACCACCTGCAATCATGCTTTATATGCCATTATTGATGTCTTTACGCAATACTTTGATGTCTTGGGTCATCTATTGCTGGAAGACTTGTTTGCTCAGTTACATTGGTGTGTTCAGCAAAATAACGAGCAATTGGCCAGATCGGGTACGAATTGTTTAGAGAATTTGGTTATATCGAATGGATTTAAATTTAATGAAGCTACATGGGATAAAACCTGCCAATGTATTTTGGATATATTTAATGCTACGCTGCCCGGAGAGTTGTTGACATGGCGTCCAAATCCCCAACTACAGCAACAAATGCAATTACAACAGCAACCACACCACCAGACACAACAAGGTCAAGTACAATATCAGACAGCAGCTCATAATAATCCTCAAACTCCCCACTTACGCAAAGGTTCTAATCCACGTGCGAACGATACTCTAAATCGTTCATATTCTCAACATTCCGTTTATAGTAATTCGGGAAGTTTTGATGATGATCACACCCATCAAACCCACCATCAACACCATCTCCATCAACAACATCCGCATGCCACTCCTCAGCATCCAATAGTACCACAAAATCCAGCTTTGTTTGAGAGTCTCAATATCAAATGTGTTGTACAACTTGAGCTAATACAAACTGTTGATAACATCATCTTTTTCCCGGCTACTTCACGGAAAGAAGATGCTGAAACTTTGGCGCAGGCCGCCGCAGATTTAACAGGAAACATAACAACACATCCCATGCTGGATTGTCAACGTGAAGAACAGGGCATGTACAGTTATTTACGTACTCGCCAATTACTCACTCTAGCCGATTGTCTTATGCAATCGCATCGCTTTGCTAAACGTTTTAATGCCGACCAAGAACAACGTAATATTTTATGGCGGGCTGGTTTTAAGGGTTCCATCAAGCCGAATTTATTAAAACAAGAAACCGCTTCATTGGCCTGTGTATTAAGAATTTTCTTTAAAATGTATGGCGATGAGAATAGACGCAGCGATTGGCCAGGCATTGAACAGGAATTAGTGCAAGTGTGTAAGGAAGCATTAACATATTTCCTAAGTTTACAGAGTGAAGCTCATCGTGATGCGTGGACATCGCTGTTATTGTTGATTTTGACAAGACTACTTAAAATGTCCGATGCAAGGGTAAGTACAATGTGATATTTCGAATTTTATATGTTGACTTCTAGTTTATTTCGAGTTCAGCTCAAGATCCGTTCTAGTTCAATTCTAGATCCGTTCTAGTTCAGTTCTAGATCCGTTCTAGTTCAGTTCTAGATCCGTTCTAGTTCAGTTATAGGCCCGTTATAGTTCAGTTCTAGATCCGTTCTAGTTCAGTTCTAGTTCAGTTATAGGCCCGTTCTAGTTCAGTTCTTGTTCATTTAAATTTCAGTTCTAGATCCGATCTAGTTCAGTTCTAGTTCAGTTCTAGTTCAGATCTAGTTCAGATCTAGTTCAGTTCTAGTTCAGTTCTATTTCAGTTCTAGTTCAGTTCTAGTTCAGTTCTAGTTCAGTTCTAGTTCAGTTCTAGTTCAGTTCTAGTTCAGTTCTAGTTCAGTTCTAGTTCAGTTCTAGTGCAGTTCTAGTTCAGTTCAGTTCTAGTTCAGTTCTAGTTCAATTCTAGATAGATAGATAGATAGATAGATATAGAGATAGATAGATAGATTAGATAGATAGATAGATAGATAGATAGAGATAGATAGATAGATAGATAGATAGATAGACAGATAGATAGATAGATAGATAGATAGATAGATAGATAGATAGATAGATAGAGATAGATAGATAGATATAGATAGATAGATAGATAGATAGATAGATAGATAGATAGATAGATAGATAGATAGATAGATAGATAGATAGATAGATAGAATAGATAGATAGATAGATAGATAGATAGATAGATAGATAGATAGATAGATAGATAGATAGATAGATAGATAGATAGATAGATAGATAGATAGATAGATAGATAGATAGATAGATAGATAGATAGATAGATAGATAGATAGATAGATAGATAGATAGATAGATAGATAGATAGATAGATAGATAGATAGATAGATAGATAGATAGAGATAGATAGATAGATAGATAGATAGATAGATAGATAGATAGATAGATAGATAGATAGATAGATAGATAGATAGATAGATAGATAGATAGATAGATAGATAGATAGATAGATAGATAGATAGATAGATAGATAGATAGATAGATAGATAGATAGATAGATAGATAGATAGATAGATAGATAGATAGATAGATAGATAGAGATAGATAGATAGATAGATAGATAGATAGATAGATAGATAGATAGGTAGATAGATAGATAGATAGATAGATAGATAGATAGATAGATAGATAGATAGATAGATAGATAAATAGATAGATAGACAGTTTTCATTATTAAGCTCTTTTACAAAAGTGATTTCCCTAATATATTTCTTTAAATTTCCAGTTTGCAACGCACGTCTCTAACTATTATGCTTATTATGTGAAATAATGTGTTTCGATTTGAAGCCCGAATTACGAAGTGTCCTTAGGCGTGTTTTTACGTATTGGTCCAGTGTTTAATATATTAAATGTAAAATAGTGTTACTGATACCATAACTACTACTACAACCAATTCCATTAAAAATTCGACTTTTAATTAAAAACGAAAAGATAAGTATACATAAAAACATAAAACATTTGGGGGAGATTTACGAAATACTATTCAAATAAAATTGTTTTTAAACATAATAATTTAATATACAATTTATATACATACATAATATATTTATTTATCCTTTATATTAATATATAAACTATACAATTTAAAACAATATTGTAAATTGGTCATTTATTAAACAAAAATACATTAAAACTAAATAAAATATGTATTACAAGAAATTGTATACCTTCTTGGTCTTGGCAATATAGATGAAATTTTTTAATTTCAATTTAATTTAAAAATAATCTTTATTAATTTGTTGTGTATGTTTCAAAGAATTCCTTTAGTTTAGTGTGTTTTTTATTTAATAATTTGTTTCAAAATTTGTGTTATAAACAGAAAACAAGTAAGATAGTAAAAACAAATTTAAGTTAAATTTTATTTTAGTTTAACAAAATTGAAATTTTGAAATAAATTTTTTTTGAAAAAAATTATCATTTATAAATCGTTTTAAATAAGAAAAAATTCTTTTGTTAGAAAATTCCAAAAAAATAAGAAAATAATTCTGTTTTTTGCATCTTAAACTCGAATAAAAGTAAAATTTTGAAAAAAATACATTTAAAAGGTTTGAATAATTGCAAAGCAAAAGATTTCTGAATATTCAACAAATGAAAATTATAAAATTCCCTTAAAATTTTACACAAAATTCGTTAGATATTTCATAAAATTATACAAAAAGTATTGTTGATTAATTTTATTAAACATTCAAGAAGATTTTGAGATTCAGTATGAGATTTGGCCTCAAAGAACAGTTTATTATTATAGCCTTATTATCCGTTCATATACTATATATATACAAATTAATCATTTACTAACATTACTTCATCTACTTATTCGACTAGTCTAAAATCTAATACATATTTAAATTTCTACAAAATATTAACACTAAATCTACTCTTCTACTAGTGTAATTGTTAAACAAAATTTCTCACACAACTATTACAGCTAAAAATAAAGAAAATTTCTTTATTTTACTCTTAAAATTCCTGTATAAATCATTACAATCAAGATCTGTATACAAAGTTGAACTTTTATCGATAAATATAGAAAAAAATAAGAAAACTTAAGAGTGTGTGATTTTGTGTGACTTGTTAATAAAAAAAATAGTTTGTTGTTTTTATTCTTAAAAAAAATTTACAACACCAAAAAATCACCGAAAACTGTCCATAGTTTTGCTGTAATTTGAATAATTCATTGAGAATTTTTAAAAGTTATTTCTGTTTAATAACAATAGCGAAAACTATAAATATTTAAAAATAATAATAATTAAATAACTATATACATACATACACACACACACACTGAAATATATACATATATATAAATATATAGAGTGAATAATAATTAAAAAAATAATTATAACAATAAAATTAGTAATAATAATAATAATAAAAAAATGTATATTACATAGTAAAAATGAAATTTATTTAAATATAAAAACGATTATTCTTACAATAAAATTATTTTAAAAACAACATCTTGTGAATATTTTTTTAAGTTGTCGAAATTTCAATAAAGTTTAAAACAATTTAATGAAGATTTCGATCGATTTCGAATACCGTAATTTGCTTGCAGTTATCTCCTTCTCAATTGAATTAGTAATCTGATAACTATCTTCGAGTCTGTAGGACAATTTTATATTTCGGATTCAAGCCACTCCTCCTCATACGGTAACTTTATTAAAGGCATAACTATGGCATCTATAAGATTTTTTAAGCAATAACGTTATGACTATGTTGCAATTGCAAAAAAAAAAGCTCCACATTTTTAATATATTACTCGCTGGTGTAGGTTATCATATGGTCGGCTATGCCCGACTATACATTCTTATTTGTTTTCAATATAAAATAAGCAGGAAATGTTCGTTTACATTTAGATGAACAGACCCTAAATACACTCCCGCTCACTTAAATAGGTTCACTATTTTGTTTACATTCAAATTAATTTTTTGCAAAAAATAATGGACTAATTGCTTATATTAAAATTTTAATTAATAGCATAATGTCTTATGTATCACTAGATAGACAAACATTAGTGCAATACTTAATAACTGATTTGTAATAATTTTTTTTCTAAAACACTACGTTTTTCAACAATATTTTTTTGGCTCATTTGAATAGGTTCATCATCTTTGATTTACAAAAACAACAACAAAATGTATTTTTCAATAAATTTTTTATTTTTATAAACATTTTTGCAAGGTTTTAGAAAAGATTGAGTAAGAAACATATCCGCCGTTACTTGAGATAACTTCGAAAATTCGAGGTGATAAAGAGTTATTAAGATTCTTAAGTAATGACAAGGAAATTTCGGTCCAAGCCTTTTAAGTTCCTTCAATTTAGGCTTCTTTTGTGTCGTACTGTCTGCCCGACCTATACACTTTACGAGAAAGAATATCTGAAACATTTTCAATAATAAATAGGTGAGAAGATTATGGAGGCTACTCAAACATTTTTACATTCTGGCATCGAATCCATCCATTTACAGCCCTGGCGGTATGGATCGGGGCATTATATTTTTGAAATATCCACGGCAAGGGTTCAAGATATCCGAAAATGTGAAAAAGCTGTTTCCAGGCATTACAATTATTACAATTCCTACTAGATAAAAGAAATTGAAGCTCACATGTTTATACCCTACACCACTATAGTGGGGAGGGTATTATACGTTTGTGCTGATGTTTGTAACACACAAAAATTAAAGTATACCGATCGATTCAGAATCATTTTTTGAGTCGATTAAGACATGTCCGTTCGTCCGTCTGTCCGGCTGGCTGGCTGTCCATGTAAACCTTGTGCGCAAGGTACAGGCCGCAATTTTAAGATAATTTGATGAAATTCGAACCAAGCATGTTTTTTGACACAGGGACGAAGCCTATTGGTTCAAATGGTTCAAATCGGTCCATTATTTCACCTAGCCCCCATACAACCGTACCTCCCGATTTGGGCTTTTTTGCCATAATTACGTAATTACTATTATCTCTCTAAAAATTGGCACAAATAAGTTTTATATAAGTAGATTTTCGTAATGATCGGTCCATATTTGACCCTAGCCCATATACAAACCCCCCTTCAAAAAATGTCTTAAACGTCTAAAATTGACTTGTAACCATTTGTATCGCAATGAAACTCAACAAAACTAACTATTATTTAAAAATATATCCTTTTCCCAAATTTAATGAGGATTGGCCCATGTTTAACCTATACTCCTATATTTAGTTTTTTATCAATAAATTGCTTAAATACTTTGGAATTAAGGTAAATTTCAACATAAAAGTTTCTTTATGAAAAAAAAAAATTTTAAAAATATACTCATGGTGTAGGGTGTTATATGGTCGGCCATGCCCGACTATACTTTCCTACTTGTTTTTCAATTGGAAAGTCTTTCATTAATTTTTTAATATTGTTAAAGCCTTGGCCCTTCTTACAATACGTTTTACTGCAGCTAGGCTTCCTGTAACACCCACTTTTTATTAAATTTTTGCTGCAGAATCACTTCTGTCCTCTTTTGTTATGACTCCATTTGTACGTTTATTAATGTTTTCTTAACATTCAGACTGTTTTCTTATAAAATTGCGAATAACATTCTGAATTTGCCCAATTTTTTTTGCCAAATTCCTGTGATTTTGGACAGTTTCCAAAAACGCTAAAATTTTGCCGTTTTATTCTTCAGTCAATGGCTTACCGCGGCCTATTTTTTAAAAAATATGTATATTATGTCTATATTCACAGACACCAGAATATGAATGGATTTTTTCCACTGCCAGCAGTAAACTGATTTTATTCTGAATGAACCTAATCAATTGAACCAAAAAAATATAGCTAAAAAACGTAGTATGTTAGAAAAAAATTACTAATAATCAGCTATTAGGTATTTCGCTAATTTTTGTCTTACTAGTGATACCTAAGACATCATGTTATTATTTAAAATTATAAAATTACTAATTAATCCTTTACTTTTTGCAAATATTTAATTTGAATGTGAACAAAACAGTGAACCTATTTAAGTGAGCGGGAGTGTATATTAATAATTACACAGGCCAACAAATTTTGAAAAAAGTCAAGACCAAGAGATCAGAGTGTACTTTTCTAAAGAAATATATAACAGAGATTAAACCTTCATATTAAAGCAGACAGTTGTTTTGACGAGATACGAGTATATTAAACATAATTATGAACTTTTCGGCGAGTTCAGTTGTACGGGAGCTAGATGAAATAATGGACCGATGTTAACCATTTTTGTCTCTGGTACAAGACCATGTGCCAAATTTCATTGAATTATCTTCAAAATTGCGACCTGTAGTTTGACTACAAAGTTTACAAGCCCTATTCGGGACTTCAGTTGTAATATACCGTTCTTGACCATTTTCTTGGTCCCTAGAATAATATAAGATCAGCACCAAATTTCATCGAATTATCATTTACATGGACGGGCGGACAGACCGACATAGCTAAATCGACTAAGAAAATGATTCTAAGCCGATTGGTATACACCTTATTGTACGTTACAAACATCAGCACAAACACAATATACCCTCCCTTTATTGCCGCAAACGATAAATTCTAATTTTACCAGCTGTTACTTAATTGTCTGAATCTTAAAAAAGTCGTGATACATTTACGATTTATGATGTTTATCATATCTTCAATTTTTTTGTTGCAATTTATTCAAAATTTGTTTAGTTTAGTTCTATTAAATTATTGCGCAACTGTAGCAAATGTAACACGAGACACATTTGTACTATACTATTTTAAAACAGAAACGACACAATTATTTCTTAAATAACACGTAATGTAAATATTTACATTTACAATTTTTAGACAACATTATATTTTGCAAATACTTTATAATAAATTCATATATTTATTTACATTATATTCAACTGCAAACAACGAGA